TATGAGAAATACTTTCATCCTGGTAACATATATATAAACAAAATATTTTAGCTTACATCAACTATTAAAAGACTGAAAAAAAAACTAAACAAAACACTGTTTGGTTTTTCTTTTTTACCTTGATTTTACCAACAAAAAAAAGCCTCCCAAGGTTTGTAATCTCTTTTTCAAGTGTCCTGGATTTATTCATTAATTTTCCTTTAGCTTAGTCCATTTATTTATCAGGGGTCACCACAGCGGAATGAACCACCATTTATTCCAACATATGTTTTACACAATGGATGTCCTTCCAGCTGCAACCCAGCGCTGGGAAACACCCATACACTCTCACATTTACACACACTCATACACTACGGTCAATTTAGTTTATTCAATTCACCTATAGCCCATGTGTTTGAACTGTGTGGGAAACCGAGGCACCCGGAAGAAACCAATGCCGACACGGGGAGAACATGCAAACTCCATACAGAAAGGCCAACTGGCCCAGTCAGGACTCGAACCAGCGACCTTCTTGCTGTGAGCTGACAGTGCTTACCACTGAGCCAACATGCTGCCCCTATCCTGGATTTACTTTAGCTCATTTTTCATTTATTAATTACTTCATTGCCTAAACAGTTTCTCACCTCCCACAGATGAGCCATTATAGGAGCGTCCGCCCAGGAGTGTTCCGCGTTCAGGCCGTTCTTCCCGTTTTTATACAACACCACAGTGAAGGACTTATCAAACCACCTCAAACACAAACACACATCGAGTATGAATACAGAGAATACCATGCCTGAATGTCACTAGAAATTAAAACAGTGTAGATGATGTAATATTCAGTCCCACTAGAATAGTGTGGTCTTTAACGTTTCTTGAAATAAAAACATACTAATTATACACGATTTTTGTGTATTTCCAAAGCAAAACATGATATGTGAAGAAAATAAATGCATAGGTTTTGAGAAAAGATTCACAAAATCAGTCTTTTTAGGCCACAAATCTAACAAAATCTCCGGCAAAGTCATGGAGGAGCTGAATAGAGAGTTGAAGTTGGAATTATTAGCTCTCCTGAATTATTAGCTGCCCTGTATATTTATTTTCCCCCCAGTTTCTGTTTAACTGAGAGATTTTATTAACACATTTCTAAGCATAATAGTTTTAATAACTCGTTTCTAATAACTGATTTATTTTATCATTGCCATGATGACAGTAAATAATATTTGACTAGATGTTTTTCAAGACACTAGTATTCAGCTTAAAGTGACATCTAAAGGCTTAACTAGGCTAATTGGGTTAATTAGACAAGGCATGGCTAATTCTGTTTGTTCTGTAGACAATCGAAAAAATATTGCTTAAGGAGGTTAATAATATTGAAAATGGGTTTTAAAAATTAAAAACTGCTTTTATTCTAGCCGAAATAAAATAAATAGGACTTTCTCAAAAGGAAAAAATATTATAGGAAATACTGTGAAAAATGCCTTGCTCTGTTAAGCATAATTTGGGAAATATTAAATAAAATAAATTATTCCCAGGAGGGCTAAGCATTTTGACTTCAGCTCTATATGTATTGTGTATTCATTTGTTTGTATATTAAATGATTGACAGTTTTTGGATGGATGAACGGTTCTCACCTGTCGTAGCACTTGCCGTGCAGCAGGGATTTGGCATAGCGGTCCAGATTTCCGGCAGGATCGTCTCCCATCATGCCTTGCTCATCATCATCCAGAGTCACAAAGAAGGCAGCTTTCTCAATGCAGTCCAGAGATCTCTTATTCACACCTGAGCCAAAGAACTCCTTCCTAGTCTGAGCCCAGGGGATTCTGGAAAACACGGTACAAAACACCTGAGTGTGACTCTAATGACCAAAAATCGAAAATGTAGAAATAATTCACATTTAAATGAACTTAAAGTGCATCATTTTTTTATTTTAAACCATGAAAGGATTTGGGTAATATAACTGCATGTGAAATACCAAAATCAGGGTTCATTCATTCATTTTCCTTTGGTTTAGTCTTTTTTATTTATCAGGGGTTGCCACAGCGGAATGAACCGCCAACTTATCCAGCACATGTTTTATGCAGCAGACGCCCATCCAGCTGCAACCCAGTACTGGGAAATGAAATCAGGGTTATAAGATCATAAAAAAAAAAATTGACAAATCATTAAAAAAAATTTTTTATTAAAATTTATTACAAATAACATTTTATCACTTACAATAAATCAACATTAATTTTTATGAATTGAAACCTAAAAAGTAAATAATTAATTTTTATCATTATTATTTTATCATTTATTTTAATATAACCTGTCAGCATAAAACAAGCAATTAAATTTAAATCTAAGAAAAAATATTTCAAAATATAAAATTAATAAAGTGGCATGGCATGCATTGATAAATAAAACAGTAATCATTTCAGTGCTTCAGATAAATGTCATATTATATTATGACTGTTAAGGTGTTTTTTTTTTTAAACTAACACAAATGCTGTGCAATAATAATAAAAATATAGAAAAATTACAATTTTAATCAAAGTCTTACAATCCTTTCACAGTCCCTCACCCAAATTCATCAATGTAATTTACCTCTCCTAATTTTATGCATATAGCATTATATACAGGATTTCTGCAGGTTTCACAAAGTTACATTTAAGACATTTTTAAGACCATCATGAATGAAATTTTAGACTTTTACAGGGCAGGATTTTTTTGAATATTAGAAAAGATTTTCATATGTCCTATCAAAATACGATTAAAATTGAATACATTTAACAATACAATAACTTTGTTTGAATATTTTTAAATTAATTTTCCAATATATCCATTTTACAAACCCTATAACCCTTAGAATAGAATAAAACAGAGCTGTCAATTGCTTCAGTCGACAATAATAATAATATAATTAAAAATAAAATATAGGTCAGGTCAGTGTCCTCAGCAGTACATAAATTGAGAACTTAAGCAAATGTTACTGTAATGAAAATAATTAAATGGTACTAAAAAAAAAAAAAGTTTAATTGAAAAGAATTGTTGGTGATTGAATGGGTGTTTATGGCCAGACTGTGTAGCTATACATGAACAAAATAAAATTAAAACCTGTAAAAAA